AGTAAAAGCTCACAATCTCGTAAATTGATTTGTATTATTGATAAACGTGGAATTTTACGTTGATTCTCATCACAGTTGGAAACATAGATTTAGTTGCACTTTAACAAACTTTTCCACGATATATATTTATATCACGCTTTATATATGGAATCCAAAAGAACTTAGCCGGCCTTGGGGTAGATAATAAATATATTTATGTAAGGGAAAACGTTCTCAGCTACCAATTGATATTCTTCTTCTTCACCAAACTCTTAACCTTACATAAATATTCCAACGGACTTTTCAAGACTTTTTTAATAAACGTTTTAATTAATCAATGAATTCAGGCTGTACCGACATTTTTTCCTTCAGGTTTCACGCGCCGCTTCATCAGAATTGCCGCAAACGCGCCTTCAGCTCGCGCACACGTGTGTGTCGTTCGCCACGAGTCCGTAATCTTCCGCATCGGGAATACTTTTCAGCGCAAGAATATCGAAGTTGCGGCGATTCCGATTCATCGGCGATATTACAGCGACGCTCTCGTTCAGGGAACTGCATGATTTCGGGAATATCGGGTCAGTTCCCGCGGAAAAAAACACCGAACCGCTCCGTATATATGTATATTGCGCACGTAGCCGACATTACGATGTCATTCTGCGAGCTCACTTCAGCGAAATTTAATTTTCCTTTTCATGAATTGAACCGTGATTGGCTATCCTGGCCGATAGTCGCGCGCCCGGCAAGTTTTGCTCGCTGCTCCGCGCTCACACCCGGTCATAACCCGATTCGCGACAACCTATGTAGTATTGATACCTCCTATTGAACTTCCATATCCTCGACTTGTGCGATTTAATTTTGAGAGAAGTCTCGGCTGGTTTACGCGGTTCCCGTTATGGTCGGAAATCAGGCATCGTCGTGCTTGACTCGCCGAATCAAATCGCGAAATATAGCGTGTTTATGGAGATCCCGATCGCTCTTCTCCTTTTCTACGAGGTTAAAGAAAGATGTCAAAGGAAACAGCATCACTGTACCGAATTGCGTCTGCAACGGCGTGCCAGACGGCATTATTCTCGTCGAAATTTTGACGCCACTTTGACGCTTTTGAGAGGAGGTTGTAAAACGAAATGAATTTGATAAGAATTCGATGATACTCGCATTATGTATATGAAAGGATCGAAAGGGAAATTAATTCGCCGAAGCCTATTCGCTCATTGTTTTCGTGCATACATAACGCATTGCATACGCGCGAAACGACGAAAGTGCTCGCACATGCATTCTGACGGCGAAACCGAGAGAGACAGATCTACGATAATCGTTTTCGGCGTCGTGCGCTGTCAAGGTTCGCCTACCTCAAGTGCACCGAACTAAGCTTTTGTCTGCTTGGCCTCGCAATGTCAGTGGCTCCTAGTATCTTGCGACAACTAGTGTTTACGACCTCACCGGCGTGTTCGTGAATGGGCAATGCCACTCGGCCGAAAGCGAAAATCACCTAACCGTGACCTCCGCGAACTTGTCGCAAACCCGCAACACAATGAAGGAAGTGGCTGTCATAGACCGGCCTGTTATAAAGAAATCCGTCCGCTAGTTACCTCATTATTAACACTTTTAACACTTTCGCTACCATTGTGCGCATACACGTATGATAGCAAAACATTTTTTTTCTATGTCCACATTATCAAACTAAGTTTGTTTTACACAAGTATATATAAAAAAAAACACGAAGTAGTCTGTGAAGCGAAGCATTCAAATAAACTCTGGCAACGAACATGTTGATAACTGTTCAACGAATTCTGCATCATAATTTATATCTCTTTTGAATTTTGATTTTTTCTATTTATCTTCATGTGTTGAGATAGAAAATTACTATAAAAAATATCATTTAGCTCTAATTCAAGAAATACAAACTGTATTTTAATTTTCTATGAATTAAAGATATGAGAAGTATAAAAATAAAACAACAGAACATTATTTACATAATTGTTTTATTTCCATGTTTTATACTGTGTGTCAGAAAAATAAAAATTCTTTCTTTCTCTCTCTCTCTCTCTCTCTCCCTCTCTTTATCGTTTTTCTTCATATTTAAAAGTCCTACCGTATTTTCTAAAATATTCACATACATGTTACAATAACAAGTTTCTATTAATCACACATCTTCCTCAAATAATATAGTTACTTCATACCCGCATCTGCTATAAATATAACCGGCGTGCTCTCTTTATGATAAGCATAATTTGCGAATAATTTACGCGTGTAAGTTACGGCTTCGTCGTAACTCGATTATGATCCTAATAAGAAATTCCTCGTCGAGTGCGGCACGCACTGTCGTTGACGTAGAGTATTTGGCAAATTCAAGGGGAGCTGTCGCACGGGGATATTTTCCACGGCAACCGTGAACGCGTGACGCGACGTGGAAGGCAAGACAAGATTAGACGAGGCGCTCGACTTCCGTGTCTATGTCCCAGGACGAACTTGACCCGCTTATCCAACGGCTGAATTTCGTGGTAACCTGCTGAGCGCAGGTAACTTGAGAGTCGGTCCGCCATGAAGGTGGCCCACGACGAAAGGAGGAAGAGGAGAAGGAGGAGCAGGAGGAGGAGTAGGAGAAGGACGACGAAGGAGGTGAGACGCGAAGGTGCGCGGCGCTATAGATGCGAGAGCCATATCGTATCACGGGACAAAGAGTGGGTCAAGTTCAGCGGCACGTGGATGGAGTAACAGCGGAGTCACTCTCGCTTTCATATCCCCGTGCCGTACCTGCGGCCAGGCACATGCACCTGCACGAGCGAAAGTTTGTACACGTAGAAAATGTTGCCCGAGGGGAAAACGCCAAAATCGAGGTACTGTTTTGCTTTTGGACTTTAAAGTCTTATGGAAGGTGTAAAACAAAAAGTTATGCGCACGCATGCAAATCAAAAATACTTCTCATCTCGCGCGTATTATAATAATAGTACGAAGAATGTTCGGCACCTCCGTTCCATTCTCCTAATTCTCTTTTTTCTATATTTTTCACGATATATTTGAAAAGTCTGTATCTTCAGCTGACAGATGAATCAATCCCCCCTCCCCTCCCTTCCTCACACGCAACAAACGCCACGGAAGCGCAATCAATAGGGTAAAAGCTCCGAGATATCCTGGTGAGGTAAAAGAGATACGTCTGTCAGACTGTCTCTCAGCGATTCAAGTACGCAGCGTTCTACATTTTCCTAATTGATCCCTGCCGTGCGGGCAATCTGTTTCTTTTTTTTTCTCCTTCTACATTGACATTCATCGGATATCGTTAGTGACGGTACGGGGAGATAGAGGTCCAAAATGATTCCTCCTAGAGTCGCGTCGACCTTCGTAAGATTCCATCGGCGTCCTTGGAGATCTGGTAACTAGGCAGACGGCTACGAAGTAAGAAGTCGAAGGTTCGCCGAGATGGCCGCGCGATAAATTCTGATTTACCGACGGGAAATGCGGTCGATTAATTATACTCCCTTTGTATGCATCGGCCGTGGCAGATCCCTTTCATGACATACAATATTCCGCCACTTTCTTGCGCTTCGAGGAAGGCTTAATTTTGCCTATTATCTCTCTTTCCCTCCTTCTCCTTTTTTGCACACTTTGCACACTTTTCTAATTATATGTACGTTAAAATATATGCATATATTTTATCACATATTATAAGTTACATATGTATAAGTTACAACATTGTATTGAAAAAATTTGTTCTCAGTGAGAATTATATATATATAGTATTCATCAAATAAATATTTTTTCATACTTAAGATATTTTTCCTCTCAGTGTCTATGAAAAAATAAGTCGCTACTCGACTGCATCCCTCGTCTACGATTTACGTTGGTTTCCGCGGTATCCCTTTCCCTCTCCTCCCTTCGTGACGGGGTTGACAGCGATAGCCACTTGACATCTAAATTACGGTGTACACTCGAAAATTGCGGCTGCACCGCTAAGGTAGAAATAGTAATCGAAATTCGAGCCCTACCGGGAATAATTATGCTATCCTGGCGGTGTTACAGCAGCCTATTGCGGAACTCTCGTGGACGACAGCTCCCGTTTCCTGATTATCCTGCCCACCTGTCACAGCGATTACTCGTAGATACATAATCCGATTGCCGTTTGCCGATGACAGGCGACGTCGTACAGAACGTATGCACGTGGGGACTATGATTACACACGATGACCATGTTTATTCGCCGCTGTAACCGGCGCCGAGCCGGATTCGAAGATCTCGGGCCACTGTGTACGTGCATTTCATCCATAATGGCAATATATACAAATGCATGATTGCAATGATCATCATCACAATCTCCGACGCCGCTGCGCACTGCAACGCCCAATACATACTCGTTGCCCAAAAGCGTCGTCGAGCGCAAATTTCTCAATATATAAAGCGACAAATTAAAATTTGACATAGATGCAAAAATCCCATAATTTTGTAGAAGAAGAATTTTAATACTACTTCGAAACAATTTATTTTGACGCTGGAAACATCGAAAACGGAAATTTAAGACAATATTATAATCTCAAAATAGATATAAATTATATTATTAAAATTGAAATTGTACGTGTATATGTGTGAGCCTATTTTACCATCTTAGAATTCCTACTGTGTTATAGAATTAAAAGTTTAACCTAAGGCTAAAATTTCGACTCAGATCTCTCACGACCAGATTCCGCAGTTAATATAGCTGTAACAGAAATTGGGGAAACGTTTCGGCTGCGATGCTCTTTAAATAGTCGTCGATTAAAATCGTAACTGTCGTAGCGACTAGAGTTTGCGCGTTTGTTCTACGTGTTGTCCCGTGTTCTATTAATCATAGATAAACATTGTAATTATACGGTCGCGCACGCTGGAGATCGAGACAATACCCAACTTTGCGTAGCGCGCTGTGAGCATGGATACAACCGATGCGAAATTTATAGAACCCCGCTGGCAAGTTCCGAGACGTGAAATACAATGAAAAATATCAGGGGTTTGCGAGAATTCGTTGGATCGCCGACGATTTCATCGGCTCGCAAGATGAGTCGCTTTACGGACGCCGAATCAGGTAATTAGCTGAATGATCATAGGAAATGATGGATAACTTGACGGATGACAGGTGTGAACATGACAAGAAGTGCTCAGTTGCTATTAACCTTCTGTCGGAAGCAACCGATTTGACAGACACAATATTTTCAGTTTTCAGTAAATGTATTTGTTCTTTATATAAAAAGTTACTTTCAAGGAAAGTCATTTTATTATAAAAAAGTATTATTTTGTATTTAATTACTTTGTCATTTCGGCTAAGGATAACAACAATACACAGTACAATCGAAACGTTTCGACGATAAAATAAATAAAAGTTAAGATAAATGATAGGGTAGTAAAATAATGAAAGGAAACGTTAGTAGAGATGCCCTTCTAAAACACTAATTATGAAACGTACCTTTCAACCGTACTGCGCCCGTTGTTGTCATTATGTGCACATTATCTGCGTCGCCATTATAATTCACCACGTGCGTGTTGCGCTCGATAGAAGGTTAACAAAGGAAATATGGTCAAGCCTCTGATACATATAACTCGATCTCGTTCAATCGTTCTAAGGAATGTTTCGGAAAGCGCATACAGCCGTGCGCGTCCCGTTATGAAATCGTTATGAAATTCCTGACGAGCCCATCGGCCCGCCGTCTCCTCGGCGCTCTCCTGGAAAATCACGCCAAGGCCGTCGGGCTTTATCGTCGGATTTCCGCCGTGAACGAGCACGCGGGCGATGACGTGTATCGATGGCCACGAGCCACGTCGTCGGCGTCGTCGGCTGCGAAGTTCACGGCCTCGCGACGCCACCCGTCGCGAAAAGCGACGGCGGGGGCGGCGATAGGCGGTGACAGAGAACGAAATCGAAACGAGAAAGATGCGGTCGAGCGCGGGTCGAACGGCGTATAAAGAAGCGCCGGCATCGACGAGACTGCGACACTTTTTGATCGTTCTCTGACAAAGGCTCAGCGGACCTGACGCGAGATGGTCGCCCGAGTGCATCTGGGAGTCGCCGCGTTCGCACTCGCTCTATTCTTCGAGGTTCTCACGCGGATCCGAGCTGAGTACAATAACTGTGAGTATACGCGATGCTCCGCGAATACGCGAATTTATTATTGTCGCACCGTCGGACGGCCCCCCGCCGCGTTTTCCAGCGCGGACGTAACGTCGCGTCATCGGGAAACGTGGAATACGTGGAAAGCGGTAAGATTCTGATCTTCGATGTGAGCGGAAGACGCGCGCCATTTTCTCGGACGCTGAGGTCCGTCATTTGTTGACACTTGAGACTCGTCTCGTGCGAAGTACTCAGATCTGAATTTAGAGTTGGATTTGAGAGTGTGTCGTTTGAAATCATATAGAGGAAAAGGTGACATTACGGTCCCCATTTACATTTTGTACGATAACTTTGTTAATAATTAATGTTTTAAATTCAAAACTAAACAAATTCGTCAAAGTGTCGTTCAGTCGATTCTAGACTTAAAGTTACGAGATATTTATTGCTTTAAATAAGACACCCAGATTTGAATTTAAAATTAGATAAAGGTTTTCAATTAAATCGTAATTACAAATATGTTAAATATATTCGATACGTAAAGACAACTCCAGTGAAAAACTCACATCTATCTTAAAAGCTGAGCATGTCACGTGGGCAAGTTTCAAGTAACGACTATTAATACGACCCTGAAACATTCATCGATGAAGGTTTAAAAAATATCCTCGCAAAGAAGCAAAATGTTTCTATTCAGTGATGACGTCGCTTAAAAAGCAGATGAATAGTTATTCGCCTAATTAATCCAAAAATATTGATTATAATCAGCCCAGAGTTAAAACCAATTAGAAACTGAGCGACTCAAGTGATCATATAAAGTAACTTTCACGCGTAAAACTGCGGCGTTGCTGTTGGAAATTTCACTTTGTCGCAAATTATAGGGTTCTTTTCATAACGGTGAATTTACCGTTATGTAAGATAATGGAGCTTATTATCATGTAAATTGTATACTTATGGTGTCTTTTGCATCTTCAATTCTCCACACGTCACGTTTCTTACTTTTCGCTCACGTGACTGTTACTTCATGCCGCGCCATATAACTCGAAACCTGACACCGCACGCCTTATTACGCCCTGTAATAGTAATAACGAAATGTTCATAAAGTGTGTACACACCACTACCACGCGGGTGCTTCCGCGCACTTATTTTCGTAGCTATCCGTGAAGTGGGAACCTAAAGCCCCTTCTGTGGTTCTCAAAGTTTAGGTAGTAAACTTACTTTATCAAACTACAACATCTATAGCAAACTCTGTATTAGTCAGTTCGCTCGCGAAACTCGGAGAAGCTCGCCAACTATTCCTGTTGCAATTAATTTTTCGAGAACTTATTTACCGCGTGGCGTATTATGCGGCATACTTCACTTTATTATTATTCCCAGAAGTTCGAATTACCGTGTTATTTCAACTTCAAATAGATCGTGTTCGCAACTATCTTGCACCCGTCCCTAGGTGCTAGAAATCTTTCTTTCGAGTGGACTAATTCCCCGCAAATCTTAACGATTTCATCTAATCAATATTAACAATGAATGTCTTAACGACGTTGGAAAATTCTATTTTAAATATTATCAGATCATATCCGATACGTGATATCGTTTCAAGAAACCAATTTACGATGTAGTGTATTAATGCTTATATCTATTTTTACGCTCGATGTAAAACTGCATTAAACTGCAGAGGGGATAATGTTTCATAAACATAAAGAAAACTACATGTATATATATATATATATATATACAAGTATGTTTGTCTAAAGTAAGATAAGAAATTACATTTTTTATAGGAAATAATCTGATAAATACATAAATATTAAATCTGGTAATTTTTCGCCTGTTACAATATTAATAAAATTGTCCATATTTCGATGGACGAACTGAACCGAAACGACCTGTAACGCATTCGTATGTATCCGAGCAGGTTTGCTTAAAATCATCTCTAAAATACAGGCTTGCTGGTTTCCTCGCAGAACATCCTGTACATAGAGTGCACTAAAAGCCTATTGTCAATAGATTCGAACATCTCGGATGAGACTTTACCGAATAATTCTTGAATTAGATACACTGTTCCGAAATATATCGGCAATTCTCCATAAACATCTTTCCACAATGAACTTCCGCTAATTCAACATTTAAGCTTCCATAATTAATTCCCGAGAAAACACGTATCCCGATCTCCTCTCCGGGATATCGCGCACGAGCCGTCGGTCGACAAATGGAACGCACGTATCATAAAGTTAGCGCTAAATTGCGCGGTCGTTTATCCAAACGCGACTTTACTTTCGCGCTCTACGACGGCGATCTGTAACGAGATTATCGCGTCGTTTACGAGGCGCGCTCGCGCCAAGATGGAGCGTCGCGATGTCACACAGCCCGGTCTATTATTCTGAGACTTTAACGCGCTCGCGCGCGCCATTCGACGGGCGCATTTGTAAACGTAAACGTCGGTTTAGCTACCGTAAAAGGGGAAACGTTAAGTGAGGGAGCGCCACGGCGATAGCTGGCGAGGCAGCGCTCGCAAATCGACGACTCTCACGGCAAATCGGCGCGGGAAATGCCGAACTGTACTTCCCGACATTGCTTGGAACAGCGGGCGCATAATATTAGATGCATTTTATGCAGCGGCTCGTTGCCCGGCGGCGCGACGCGCACTCCCCGCTCGGCGGCTCGAGCTTTTCCATCGGACCGTCCATTTAACCGGCGGCGCGGAGGCACCGCCAGACCCCGTGCGGAAGTCGATGCTGAATTCGGAATAGAAGCTTACGGATTCCGCGCTGCACGGAACACCGGAAGTTAATAAACCGAATTTAGTGTTCGCCGTTAGCGTGGCGCACATTCGCGGCGTACACCCCGCCGCGCGTCGTTGCTCTCCCCAGCCAATATTCGGGAGTGACTTAGCGAGAGAGAATGAATGAGGGAGGGCGAAGGCGGGAGGCAATATTAGAGGAGCCTCCCGTGAGCAATCAAGTATTTGCAAGACTTATTTTTCTCGGTTCCTATGCTTGAGTTATATAGTAGATAAATAGTGCTTTCTTTCTTTACATGTTATTAGTAAGATATTTAACTCGTCACATTAACGATTAAAAATGAAAACTCAGCTCGGAGACTTTGAAATGTGTTTCATGCACGGGAAACTCGATTATCTCTAATATACAACGAGATCAAGTGTAACGAATGTCGGACTGATACTTTCGAATTTTTGACAAATTGCGCGGTAAATAAAAGCCGTGTTCGTACATTCAAATTGATCTTTCTTCGATTGACGTTTAACATATTTTGTATTTTATAACGTTGATTAAAGCTTTAGAACTTTAAAACTCTATTATTGAATTCTCCATATTTCATGTAATAAGCGTTAAATAAGCGATTAAATACTGATATATTGAACAACACCGCATCAATCAAACTATCACTACGGTAGTTAACATAGCTTGTTAATAGTGTAATTGTAATTCTATTTGCAATTCATTTGACTTGCAGATAAATTGTTTTACTCGTTCTCTCCCTCTCTCACTCACTCTCTCTCTAAATTATACATATTTACTTGCATTGTGCATAGATTAGATTTAGTTTGATTTCTCGTTCATTCCCTCGCGCAATAAAAGCCCATAAATTACCGCAAATACTGTACTGCATTTACACACGCACATTTATATACACTAATATAAACATTTGATATAAAAATATGCATATATGTACTACAAAAGTGTCCTGAAATTATCTACGAGCACTTCGGAGACGGGTCTTAAAAAATTCGCAATTACCTCGCTAAAACATATTTCACGGCGGGTCTGGCACCCTTTACAACTTTATCTTTTTTAATATCGATCAAATTTCCACTTATTCAAACAAGTAGGTACAGGTGGGTAAATATTTCATTTCGCGTGTCAAAATTCGTCGGTCAACTGGCCACCGAAGCGATCGGGAATAAAATGCATGCGCTCGGAAAAAAAAATGATAAAATTAACGCGCCGCAAAAAATTGTCTCCCGTGTT